GAGGAGGGCAGTGAGGGGTTCTGGTTTTCATTTCTATAAGATCACTCTAGCTGTTGCAAGGAGAATGAATTAAGAGGGTTAGGGTGAGGCATGGGTAAAGCAGGGAGGTAGGGGGAAAGATGACAGTGGCTTGGATCAGGTGGGTGGTGGAGACAAAATTTGGAGGAGGGGGCACTGCTGATGAATTACATTCAGGGAATAAGGGGTAAAAGTCTTAGAGTTGCTTACATGGTGGCTGTGTCTCCAAGCAACAAGGTTGATTCTAGACTAGGGTAAAGCCAAGACCAAACCAAATCCATTGTCATTGAGTTGATTTTTTCTACTTATAGTGACCCAACAGGGTTTCCAAGACTCTCATTTTTATTATTTTTTTTTAATTTTTAAAAACTATTATTATGAATTGGGTGAAGGTTTACAGAGCAAATCAGTTTTACATTAAAACATGTTTTGTTTCATGCCATTGATTGAAATTCCCATAATGTAACATCGCTTACATCACTTCCTCTCTGTTTCCTGTTTCCATTCCTCCTTTTTTTCTAATCCTTCTGAACTTTGTCCTTGGGTAAATGCTGCCCCTTCCCTTTTTAAAAAATCTTAAATGGTTGATTAGTCTAAGGAGTGCTTATTGATCAAGTGTTGCTGTTCCCTTATAAACCGGTTTATTGTTTGACTGAAAATTGAGGCATGGGGTGAGCTCAGTTCCAGACTTATAGGGTAACTAAGGGCCATAGTCTGGGGGAGGGTCTCCCAATCTCTATCCAACCAATAGACCTAGTCTTTTGTATGATTTTGAATTGTTTCCCACATTTTCCTCCTACTCTATCCACAACTTTCTAATGTGATCCATTTCAGAGCAGTTGGTAGTGGTAGCGGAACTCCATCTAGTTTTTCTGGTCTCAGGGTTGTGGAAGCTGATGTTGGAAAGGTCTGTTAGCTCATTGGACAAATTACTTCCATGTATCTTTGATTTTTTTCATTCTTCTTTGCTCCTGATGGGGGAGACACCAATAGTTGCACCTTCGATGGGAATTCATAAGCTTTTTTTTTTTTTTTT